GTTTTTTTTTTTTTTTGTGTAGATATTTAAGAGTAGAGACGCATTGGTTGAGTGGACTCGTGATCAAGGAAATAGCAACGGTTTGGTGATTATTATCAAGAACTCGGATGCAGGAGGAGCTGGTAATAAGAAACCCCGAATAAAATTCGGTTGTGAAAGGGGTGGTGTTTATAAAAGGAAGATTGATGAAAATGTCCATAAGAAAAGGCGTCTTAGGAGTAGTGGTACGAAAAAGTGTGGATGCCCATTTCTATTGAGGGGTGTGAGCTTGGGTGATAATGATGAGTGGAAATTGGAGGTGGTATGTGGAGTTCATAACCACCATGCTGCAAAGTCCAATGCAAGGAGATTATCCGAAGAAGAGAAAGCATTGTTGGTAGACATGTCCAAGAGTTTGGCCAAACCCAAGGATATATTGCGCACAATTAAACAAAAAGATGGACTCAATGAAACAACAATGAAAACAATTTATAATGTCAGACAAAGGTTGAAGTTGAAAGAGAATGTTGTGAGATCGCAGATGCATGTATTGCTAAGTAAGTTATCTGACCACAATTATATTGAGTGGCATAGAAGCTCAAATGATAGTAATATTGTGAAGGATCTGTTTTGGACCCACCCTGTTAGTGTAGACATCTTACGTGCATTCCCTCATGTCCTAATCATGGATTGCACGTGCAAGACATATTCTTTTCCGCTTTTAGAGATTGTAGGGGTGACATGTACTAACATAACCTTCTCAGCTGCATTTGCTTACCTTGATGCTAAGAATGAAGACAATTACACATGGGCTTTGAGTAGATTAAGGACTATGTTGGATGAACATTGTCTTCCTACAGTCATTGTCATGGACAATGACTTGCCACTCATGACTGCCATCCATAGTATTTTTCCTAGTGCCCGACATTTTTTGTGCAGATTACATATTAGCAAAAATGTGTTGGCGAAATGTAAAGGCATGTTTGAAGGTAAAGATCAGTTGGAGAAGTTCATGATGAGTTGGAATATGTTGGTGTTATCGGAGACGGAGCATGAGTATCTGAAACGTTTGGCTGAGCTTGATTATTATTTTGGTAGATATCCACATGCACTTGAATATGTGAAGAACACTTGGTTGAATGAGTATAAAGAGAGATTTGTGTCTGTATGGACAGATACATGTATGCATTTTGGTCACACGACATCAAATAGGTAACTTTCTTGTTCACTTTTGTTTCTTGATGTAAGTCATTATGTACTACTAACTGTGTTGTATGAATAGGGTTGAAGGTGCAAGTGCAAAACTGAAACAACTACTTGGCAACAGCCGAGGTAGTTTTGAAACATCTTGGGAAAAGATTCACTCCTTGTTAGAGTTGCAACACTTAGACATCAAGGTATCACTTGAGAAGTGTTTGACCATCATCCAACACAATTTCATGCATGATGAATTGAAGGAGTTGCGAGGATTTGTATCTACCGTTGCTTTGAATATAATTGTTTGTGAGTCGAAGAAAGTCAATTCGGTGGGGTTAGATTCTTCGTCATGTGGTTGCACCATTCGACGCACACATGGGTTGCCATGTGCGCATGAGATTGCAGAATACAGACAGACTAGTAGCCCTATTCCTCTTTACTGTGTTGATCCTCATTGGAGGAAATTGGATTTACTGTACTCCCCGAAAAATAGTGACCACGCAACTGACATAATTACACAAATGTATACGATCTTACATCAGTGGATGGATAGCAATGAGGACACCAGGAGACATATTAGTCTGAAGTTGGAGGAGATTATGAATATGGAGTCAATGCCCCTTACCAAGCCTAAAGAACAACCAAGTAGAATTGACACTACTACTCGTTGCAATCTTTCTGCCTTTGAGTTGGCCTTGTCCTGTCGAGTCAGTCATTCACCAGTTGACACAGTTGCTACCACATCCCACTCGGAGAAACCAAAGAGGCGTCCTCCCAAGATGAAGGTATGCACTAACATTATTGAACTTGTATGAGGTATGAGGTATTTTCCAATATTTAAAACTACTATATGCATGAATATGGCTGTACAGGTACATAGGATGTGTCCACTCACTTCATCTGAATTGAAAGAGCAGTTTCCTACTGCTTTGAGACCATATATTTCATCCATAAGGGATTTTGCAGGTGACGGTAATTGTGGTTATCGAGTCATAGCCGGGTTGATGGGTTTTGGAGATGATGCTTGGAGCAAGGTACGCAGAGATTTGTTGAATGAGTTGTGCTCTCATGAAACACAATATGAGAACCTTTTTGGGAGACGTGATCGGGGCAAAATGGTTTTAGGCGCAAAATATTAGGCTCGGTCAAATACTATTGGAAAAACGCAATCAGCATTTTATATTCTACTCGGAATAGAATGGGATATTAGCTCTTCGATTAAAAAAAAAATCTCAAGCAAAATGGTTTTAGGCGCAAAATATTAGGCTCGGTCAAATAGTATTGGAAAAACGCAATCAGCATTTTATATTCTACTCGGAATAGAATGGGATATTAGCTCTTCGATTAAAAAAAAAATCTCATTAGCTCTGGCACCGAATAGTGTAAGTTGTGGTGAGAGCTATGGCAGCGAGGATAAGAAGGGCATAACTTCTGGTACGCTGTGACGTCATCCTTCGTCCCCTGAGCAACAGATTCCAGACTGCATCTGATTTTTCTCGTCGTTTTCTGACTTTGGCTTTTGCCTCTAAAACCCCAGACGCCGCCTTTCCCCAAAAAACCTCACTCGAAAGAGTTGAGTGACCGTCTGGCTGAGTATGGAGAAATTGGATCCACGGCTACGTTCGGCTATACTCTTTATTATATTTGAATATTTAAATAGTATAGCCGTTCGGCTTAACTCTTTATTATATTCGAATATTTGAAATAGTAGAACCGCGCGGCTAGACTATTTAAATATATTTGAATATTTCAATATTATAGCCGGGCAGCTATACTCTTCATTATATTCGAATATTGGAAATATTTTTATAGTACAGCCGTCCGGCTATACTGTATAATTCGAATATTTTAATAGTATCGCCGCGCGGCTATACTATTTAAATGTATTCGATTATTTAAATCGTATAGCCACGCGGCTATACACTCTATCACATTTGAATATTTGAAATAGTATAGTCGGGCGGCTATAGGCTTTATTATATTCGAGTGTTTGAAATAGTATAGCTAGCCATTCGGCTATACTCTCTATTACATTCGAATATTTGAAATGGTATAGCCGGGCGGCTATACGCTTTATCATAGTCGAGTATTTGAAATAGTATAGCCGCCCGGCTATACTGTTTAAATATATTCGAATATTTTAATAGTGTATGCTTTATCACATTCGAATATTTGGAATAGTTTAGCCGCGCGGCTATACGCGTTAAATATATTGGATTATTTAAATAGTATAGCTGCCCGGCTACACCCTTTATTATATTGGAATATTTGAAATAGGACAGCCGGGCGGCTATACTCTTTTAATATATTCGAATATTTAAATAGTATAGCCGCTCGGCTATACGGTTTTAAATATATTAGAATGTTTAAATCGGTATCGGTCTTTCTCTCTCTGTGTCATCCACCGTCACTCTCATCTTCCAATTTAATTGGTCTGTAGGTCAACAACAGAGAGAAGAAGAAGGCAAATTTCTAAAGCGGCGTCGTGTTGGTCTTGAGCTCTGTGTGTTCCAAAAATGGAGTTCGCTAACAAGGCGGTGAGCGCTGCAACGAGAGCGGCGAAGAACAACACGGTGATAAACGTGTGCCTGGTAGGCTCGTTCATCGCGCTGAGCGTAAGGTCGGTGAAGCAGCAAAACGACATCGAATCGCTGGAGGCGGAGAAGGCGTCGCTCAACAAATCGAACAAGGCTGCGAAGCAGACTATGTGGCACTGGAAGCAGCAGCTGTACGCCGAGGCCTCATCCACTGACGGCGCCGTTTTGGTCCCTCTCGCCAGACTCAAAGCCATTTACGGCGAAGCTCCCGTTGCCCAAATTGGTAATTTCACTCCCACTCTTCACTCTCTTTGATTTTGCGTTTGTTTCTAGGGATTGGACAATTTTTTAGGGTTTGATCTTTTGTGGGAATTTTCTCATTTATTGATTAGGAGAAGCTGTGAAGGAAGAATCAAAATCTGCTGCCCCCAAATTTGTGGTCTGATTTTGGGACATTGGGTTGCTGCTTGCATTTGCAAATTGGGTATTTGCTTTCTTTGCCTTGCAAGCTTGTAATGCAGTTGCAGCTGAATTTAATGGTCAGGCTTTGAGTTCATTTTGCACTTCTGTCATTTTGGTGAAGAGAGAAAGGATCATTTTGAACTCATTCAAGTTTGCCATGGGACTGAATTTATTCATTTCTCTGTGTTTTTATGTGGCATTTGCAACAAATAAGGACTCTTGCAATTGGATCAATGAATGAACAAATAAGGACACTAAATAACTGTATTATTGATCAAAAGTCCATTATAATTTTTTTGGTTTTTATCTCAAATGGTCTCTAAACTTTTTATAAGTCCTCATTTTAGTACTCAAATTCTCAAATCAATCAATGTGGCCCGTAATTTTTTGGTTTACACATCAATTTGGTACTTGTCGTCTCACTCCAACCAAACTTTCAATAAAATTTTGATTATGTGTCATTGCGTGGCTGACTACAAAATGATATTGTCATGTAAATATAGCTCATTTTCGTCCTGAAACCCATGTTTTTCCTCAACAAATTCATGTTCTCTCCTATTGTAGTTTCACAATGGGGTTATTAAAGGAGAGCTGTTGAGCAAAATACATGAGCTTGCTTTATGTCATAGATGCATTAGGTTGCATTTTGACATAAATACCCCTTCAAAGTTGGTCATGTGACCAATTTCAACTAATATTTTGACAGAATGCAATGAGAGGACCAAGTTGATGTATGGACCAAAAGATTAACGATTACATTGATTGATTTGAAAGTTTGAGGACTCAAAATGAGGATCTGTGAAAAGTTTAGGGACCAATAGTGACAAAATGGAAATCTTGTATGTCAATGGTAGTTTGTTTGATGCGTGTGGGGTGGTGCATCAACGACTAGAAGTCGCCCACTCGCGCGAAGTTCACAATTGCAAAGATTTTAGGGAGTTTCGTCTGCATAAATCATAAACCTTGAAAGGTAATGCAGAAGATGTAAAGAAGACCCTAATCAGAATTGGCAACCATTAAAAACCTATCTTTCGTTGCTACCATTCATGACCGTGAAAGACTAAATTGCAAGATTACCAAAGCTAGAATAATAATTAAAAACTGATAAGTATAGGTAGGGGCCATTAGTAAATGGACAATGACAATCCAACCTCCATTTACTGTCTGAGATTAGTATGTTTCGATTTAATAAAATATATAACCAGTCTGATTTTCACACCAACAACATTTAGAAACACTACAAAATTAGCCGGGGATGAACCAGTTGTTTTCGTAAGTAGATTTGCGAGATTAAATTCAAGATTGCAATCCATCTTTTCACAAATTTTTGGGGTCATTTTTTTTTCTACCGACTTGATCAACCTTCTCTTCATTATAGAGGGGGAAATGTCAAGAAATAAGCTTTCAGTGGTCTTTGATTTGATTTCAGATGTGAAAGAGACCAGCATTTTGGCCTAAACTTGTATCCCAAGTAATTGATGTTTTAGGTCATAGCAATAATTGAGTTCACAGCATAATAGGGTGTTCCAAAATCAGCTCGTGAACAAATGGCATATACATATACCATTAGTTTGGCTGTTATTCCGGTAGAGGAAAGTGATAGGAAAGAGATGAAGAGGACGGAGAGCACACAAATTTAACAAAGGTCTTCTTATTTTGGATTTAACGAATGTCCCAAATAGGTTTCGGTCTCTTTTATGTAATGATGGATGATGACTGTAAAAACTTATTTTGGAGTGCAAATAACATTCGCATGGTGTTATATGAATTCTCTTAAGACACTGAAAAAAAAAGTCATTTGTGAAAAGTGAATTGTTTCAAAGTACGCTATAAACTTAAAATGAATTGCTTTAAAATGGTTTTTTAAATTCAGATTTAGTGTGGCAACAAGTATTGAAAATATTTCTTATAAATTAAAATGATTAATTCCAACCATGCCTAAGCTTGTTTATTTTGGAGTGCAAATAACATTCGCATGGTGTTATATGAATTCTCTAAAGACACTGAAAAAAAAGTCATTGATGAAAAGTGAATTGTTTCAAAGTACGCTATAAACTTAAAATGAATTGCTTTAAAATGGTTTTTCAAATTCAGATTTAGTGTGGCAACAAGTATTGAAAATATTTCTTATAAATTAAAATGATTAATTCCAACCATGCCTAAGCTTGACCTTTTATGGGACTATATATCTTGGTCCGTACATATACACATCACATGTGCTTGATAGGATTCCATTTCACCCTAAAGAATTGACTCTAGAGCTGTGTGATCCACATCGTGTGGCGCAAAGTTTGCTCCTAAGGATTAAAATCAAGTTTTCTAAAAAGAACAAAACACGACTAAATATTTTTATTTATTTGTTTTTTTGGTGTGAAATCTCAAATAACATATATTGGCTGACACGAGGACGTCGTTAATCAAAATCTAACTTGGAACACAAGAAATTATAATATCCTGATAATAATTTTACAAAGTATAGTTTTGCATAATATATTATAGTTATGCTTATAGTTGTCGTAAAAGATGTATCATGAGAAGGGAGAGGTGGATCTTGTCGTTCATTTGCTAAAACAATTGGTGGGTCATACGCAAAGAGCCCAAGAGCATAATTTTGGAATATTATTTTGTGCTAATTTAAAACGAACAGAGACGGACTTGATGAATAATTGCTTTCAAATTTGAAGTAATAAACCAAAAAATGAATATTCAGTAGGGTTTTGCTTTCTTTGTAATCGTCACATACGTACATATATGAATAAATTACAACGAATCGATAACATCAAGGTTTAGGCATTTTTCGGGTAAAGTTATGACCATTTAAAATGAAGAATTTCTTCTTTTTTTTAGACATTTTATTTTACGTGGCTGATTTCAGGCAACATTGGTGCAGTCATTTTCGGCCAGTCTTAATAATTAATAATATTTTTTTGGTCGCTTTTAGCTTTTAGCAAACGAAATTAATTAATTAAATGGTCACAAAAGCATCCCTCTACCGCAATTACTGGGCCACACAAATCCATAATGCGCTTTATTGCACGGTTTCAACGTTACTAAAAAGGTCAATGTTGTTGGTGTCAATTTTTCATCATAAACCAGCTGTTTATAATTTGACATAAAATGTTAGGTATCAAATTGTAGACCAGATGTTTAGGGACTCCGGACCGTGTTTTTAATTTGATACCAAATGTTTGGTATGTCTAGCCAAAAAAAGGTTCTAATTAGTTTTTGTAGAAAATACGTAGAATTAATCATTTGTTCCCTAAGTGGTGCTTCATCAACATTTAGAGACAATTGAAAAAGTATATAGAGAGTCATCGTGCTTAACACTACGACGGATATGGATAAAGCTTCCCCATTGACTGACTAGGGTCAGCTCTAGAGCTGAAATCATCTGGAGATAATAAATCAAAAATAACTTGTTTTAAAAGCCCTATCTACCATCTAAATTGTCATATATCAAGTCAGTTACATTAAAAATAAAACTCGCAAACCGACATAACTCCACTTAATATCACTTGCTAATTTAGTTGGCAATCAAACTGATCATATCGATCACTTACTTAACAATTTAGTGATCTCAAATTTTTGATAGCATAAGCCAATTCCATTAACAATTCGATCTTATCAATGACTTCATCAAATCAGCTTAAGTTATCCGAAAATTTGATATCAACTTAATTTTTATTGAGTTGATCAATTATCTCAATCCAAACTTTTAAGTTTCATGTGCAAACTCAATTAAGGCTTCAAAATTTGAAGGCAGAGTTTCATGTGCAAACTCAATTAACTCAATAAAAAACTGAGGGTTTTTAGATTGCCAGCATTTTAGACATGAACTGACCAAATGGTAAAGTCACAATAATCACGTATTAGTCTAAATGTAAACCTCATTTTTCAAAATACGGGCCCACACCGAAACTCATAACAGAAACAGAAAAATCTTGTTATAAACCGAAAAAACAAAAACAAAAAAGGAATAACCAATTCTTATGCACTTGTAGCATCTTTGCCAACATAGTCTCGATAATTCAAATTATGCAATGCCGAAAATGACATACCAATAAAAATGGCATTTTGGTGAAAATAAACAATAAACTTGGCATTTTGGTGAAAATAAACAATAAATTTGGCATTTTGGCGAAGGAAAAAAAACAAAATCCTTGTATAGAAGAAACTTATTAACATTTGCTACCTACCATATTAAGTGGAAGCTATAATTTAGTTGTACATTAATTACTATAACTCATAACTAGTTATTTATTAACACAAATTTATTAACATTAATTACTATAATTCATTTTCCCTTCCCATGAGAAAGTTTAGGAAAACAAGGCAACATTAAATGCACACTTTTCATGACCATTTTGTCCCTATTAACAATTTATAATAACAATATAGCATTAAATGCTTCCTTTTATTATTTGATTTCATATGGGTATAATTGGAAAATAAAACAAATTTTGTTTTACATTCCTACACAAATTAAACATGGGAAAGAAAATAATGTGGTATTTCCCGATACTTTCCCAATATTACCAAACATGATAGATGAATCTTCCATTTCTCATCCTTGGGAAATGATATGGGGAAATTATTTCCCATAAAATCCTTTTGTGAACCAAACCGGGCCTAAAAATATATATACAAAAAATACTTCATATGAAAAATGTGAAGACTATGACGGTTTTGCCAACATAAGTACACATAAATTAATCTTTTAATTTAGGACAATGAAGAATAAACCCACCATGCTTAAGACATTTCAAGTAAAAATAACTGTTTATGTCTCTAATAAAACCTAATGATGAGAAGCTTCCAAGGTGTAGAAGACAAGCACTTGAGAGACTAGAAAGAAGCACCCCCAAATGCTTCAATCAAATCAAACAAGTCCAAACCAAATAAACTGTAGAAAATTCTGGTCAATGCCAAACCCACCCCCAAAAAAAAAGTATATTCATTGAATGGCTGCGATTTCCTTATCCCTCGGACCCCTCCAAAACATAGGACCTCCTCGCACGTGGGACCCCCAACCCAAAAAAGAAAAAAAAAAAAAAAAAAAAAAAAACTAGCAAGTCTATAACAACACAGAGAAGCATAACATTTCCATGGCATGAGAGAGTTAAAACGTTTTAGGAACTCCAGCTAAACAAAATGGAAACAGAGGGACAAATCACATGGCACTAACACACACAAACTCAACGAGAGAGAGAGAGAGAGCTTAATCTCAATTGCACACCGTTTACGCTCTCATTTTCACTTTCTCAATTAGGGTTCTCTTCTATCTCTGATCTCCAATCTCTCTTTTCTTTAGCTGCTGTGGCCTGTAACTCTGTTTTTCCTCTGTTTCTGTAAGAAAATTCATCTGGGTCGCTTTTAGTTTTCGGAATTGAGGTGGGTTTTTCTGGGTGTTTGTGATCTGGGTCTCTTTGAGTGATCTGGGTCTGAGATGGAGGAGACTCGGCTGTGCCAGTGGAGCGTCATTCGATCTCTTTTGGCAATTCTTCAATGGTGGGGTTTCAATGTCACCGTGATTGTTATGAACAAGTGGATCTTTCAGGTCCTTTCTCTGTGCCTTCCCCAGATTCTTGAATTTCGTTTTTTGTTTTTACATTTCTTTTATAGATTTTTTGTGAACTGAGGTTTGCTTAATTTTGATTTTTGATTATTGGGTATGTAAAAATGTTCAATTCTCCTATGTTGCTGCCTTAATTTTTGTATTTTGTATTTTTAAGAATTCGTTTTGGTATAATTGTGTAAATATGAGTTGGGTTTTACATTTTACGACTGTAGCTGAATAACGGTTTCTCTTTTGATTTTGGAGTTGTTAAAATTTTAATTCGTTATCATCTGATTTTCTGCTTCCTTCATATTTCCGTTACTGCCTGAGATAATGAAATTCTGAAAATGATCTTGATTCTTTAGAATCTCATGAGCAATAGTAGAAGCAAGATGGTCTTTAACTTCATCCAGTTTGGAGTCCCGGAGCTGTTTCATTTGTTTACATTTAGTTTCACCGTGAACATCATTTGCTTCTCATGGTGGTCATCATGGTGTCCCTAATTTTGAAGTGTTTTCTTTTGTGCAGAAACTGGATTTTAAGTTTCCTCTAACGGTATCGTGTATTCATTTTATATGCTCGGCCATTGGAGCATACACAGTAATCAAAATTTTGAAGCTTAAACCACTAATAACAGTTGAGCCTGAAGATCGATGGAGAAGGATATTTCCCATGTCATTTGTATTCTGTATTAACATCGTGTTGGGGAATGTGAGCTTACGTTACATTCCAGTTTCTTTTATGCAGACAATAAAGTCATTCACTCCTGCAACCACAGGTCAGTTCCCGAAATTGCTAACAGTGTTTAATATTGACATACCCTATGAAAAATGTTATACTGTGTTGTGGCTTCATCTGATCGCAAAGGGTTTGAACAGTTGTTTTGCAGTGGCTGGTTTGGAGAAAGTACTTTGACTGGCGAATTTGGTGTTCTTTGATACCAATTGTTGGAGGAATTCTTCTTACATCTGTTACAGAGCTTAGTTTCAATATGTTGGGATTTTGTGCTGCCTTGTTTGGTTGTCTGGCTACTTCCACAAAGACCATCCTGGCCGAATCTCTATTGCATGGATACAAGTTTGACAGGTAGTATCTTTGTTTTTGTTGCTTTGGATCCTCATGTCTTGTATTTCATTGTTCTTTTCTGTCTTTACTTTTTCGAAGTATTCCCCATATTTATCTTTTCATGAAGTTTTTGCCAACTTTGCTCATTTTATTTTTCTAGTTTTCATAGGTTATTGTATGCCTGACGTCTGCATTAATATTTTGTTTAACTTCCAGATTCAGTGTTTTAGATTTTTACTATCGTGATAATGTTCGTGAGCATATATAAGTTGAAGATATGAATTTACAATCAGGTCATATGCTAAACCTTTCCATATCAGTGCGTTGAAACTTGAAAGACCCACCACACCTATAGCTGAAAAAGGACCTCCATTATAGCAGCTCTAACTGATATGAATATCCTGTTGACTTGTGCATTTCCTCATTTCAATGGATTTTTTATATAATTAATTTTCAAATAAGAATTATCTTGACTGATTGATTATAAGAATAATATGACACAAAATAGTTCTTTGCATTCTGGTGACAGCAGGTTATATTGTATGTGCAATCCATTTTTCTTTGTGTTTTAGAACCTTTTGGATTGCGTTAGAATCCTTGTGAGGAATATGGTGGGGTTTAGTCCAGCTGCAGTGCAAACAACCCAGGATTTGCTAATTTTTCCTTTATCTTTTCAGAAATTAGAGCATTAACATCAACCTTTTTTCTTCGTCCATTTTGGAAAATCCCCAACCCTTGCAACCTTTTTTTGTTTTACTCAGTTTTCTGCTTGGAAACCCTTTCATGTGGGTTCTAACATTAGTGGTCTTTGTTTTCATAGTGCCTGCTTCACTCCAGTCGAGAAGGGGTTGTTTTTTAGACTGTTCTACTTTTATGTGTGTGCATTAATTTATAGCTACAGGATTCATTCTGATATACTTCTTTTGATGTTTTGTGTATACAACTTAGCATAAACACGGTCTACTACATGGCACCTTTTGCAACCATGATCTTGGCTGTACCTGCAGTAGTACTTGAAGGTAATGGGGTTATTGAATGGCTTCACACTCATCAGACTCTTGTTCCTTCCCTCATCATTATATTCAGCTCTGGGGTGCTGGCATTCTGTCTCAACTTCTCCATCTTTTATGTGATTCATTCCACGACTGCTGTAACATTCAATGTTGCTGGAAACCTCAAGGTAATTATTAAGCAGTCACTTGCATTGCAATTCTGATTCTATGATATTAATATTGTTCACCTTTGTGGCGAAGTAAAGTATTGTTAGGTTTCAAAAATGATGCATCCCTTGACTGCGTGTAGTATAAACTTCTTGTCAAAGTCATATCCAGCTGAAAAGCTGCTAGTGCTTTATTCTTCCTTATGTCATTGAACTCTTTGATTCACTGAGTCCAGGGCTAGATTTTTCCTAACTATTTTAGTCAATCTAGCCTTAATCCTTTTGGGGCATATGAAATACCTTGTCAATGGTCACATTCTCATATTGGATTGTGTTCAGGTTGCCGTTGCTGTCCTTGTTTCATGGATGATATTCAAAAACCCAATTCCAGCTTTGAACGCTGTCGGATGTGGAATAACACTTGTGGGATGTACATTCTATGGGTACGTGAGGCACCTGCTCTCCCAACAGCTGCCTGGAACTCCTCGAACACCCCGGACTCCACGGGGTCGGATGGAGCTGCTTCCCCTTGTAAATGATAAATTAGATGATAAGGTCTAATGATTCAAATCATGAATGAGGTTCCTGGCAGTTGGAAAAACAATTTATAGGAAACATCAGTACACAGAACTTACTATTCACTTCTTTGCTATGTAATCCTGCTTCAGATTGCTTCAAATTTTTAATATATGGTTTTTTACCCCCTGCCAAAATATCTTCAGCTTTTTCTTGTGGGTTGCCATATTCTGGGTGAATATTCGGTCAATTCAATTGTGGCCTTCCCTTGCAACTAGACCTTCATGACCCAAGGTGGCTTTCTTAGGTACTTTGGGGGTCCAAAGGACACTATCACTGGCCAGTCGCAATGACACGTAAGATAACTTTTTCACATGTCAGTGCATTATTGGCCGGAAATAGTAAAATAATGCTATCCCTGCTAAAAGAGAGTTTTTCTGGTCCCAAAGGCCCAGAAAGCAAATGCTAAACAAGGTCTATAAACCCCAATTTTGCTGTTGCAGCACCCAATTTTATGAGACCTCTAGCCATACAACTACCAAGATTCCAAGTTGTTCATTAATAAAACTAAGACAGCCTCGTTAATAAGTAACTTTATGATCTGAAGTTGACTTTTGCAAATGGATCTTTGATTTTGATGGAGATTGAGTGCACTTGACAGAGGGTCCTACTACTTTAATTGCACATCTTGCATGAACATAGAAAGACAGACTTTCATTTCATTAATTAATACAAAGAAAGCTCATCATCTAGTTAGTAGTTAGATACTAAAATTACAAGCTAATAATCTATACTTAATTACTAATTATGACACTAATGAGATTAGATAATCTTATTAGAGAACTAAGCCAAGAGCCAGAAATCCTTCTGCCATCTGGTGTTGATAAGGTAGCCACCCACACCCTTGCTCTGCTTCCTCACTCCAATTGTCAAGCACTCTGCATTGTTGATGCAATGCTCCACAAAGTCCTCTGTGCTGCTGCTTCCAAATAAGCTGCACAAATGATTTGAGAAAAAAAGAAAGATCAACCCAGCAAACATTAACAGGACAGATTTAGGATCAATAATAAGTTTGAGATGCAAGATGGGAATTTTGTGAAATTGGACCCACCAGCTGATGAGGGGAGAGGACTTCTTCTGACCCAGCACTAAAACTGATACCTCTAGCTTCTTCACCTGGCTTATCACTGTGCCCAGTCTTGGTCCTTGGATCACTAGTGCTTCCACTTCCACCTGAATTTTGTCCCCAAAAAATAAAAAACAAAAAAATTATAGGCACATGACTTGATAATTGTAAGTGACGGACCAGAAGCCCATGTCCCCTCTCTTTTTCTGGGAAAAAGGCAAAGCAACTGAAAAGTACACACTGAAAAGAAAAAGAAAAAGAAAGAAAAATTTGAGAGGGAACCTGACGCTGAAAAAAATCATTACCCTTCTTCTCCCTCTAAAGAAGAGAAAAGACAAAAAAGAAATATTCAAAAATTAAAAACCAAAGAAAGAGGGAAAGAAAATTAAAATGAGCATAAGCTGAAAGTTGTCCCTCTCTTCGCAAAAGCACTGTAGGGTTGGGGACCAGACAGCATTCAAAGGTAAAGGAGAAAGAAAGATCCAGTGGGATCTATCAACCACAATGAGAACAATCCCTGCCTTTTTCAACTTTTTGGATCTATCAAATAGAGCAAAAATAATAAAATGAAATAAAAATCCATGGAGCCCATTTGAGCTCCCACTTTGTTTGATCTGTTAAAAATTCTTGGAACATAAACTATAATCCTTAGAAAAGAGAACAAAACTAACCTCAGGCTTGCAGGCCTTGCAAAGGGAGCCAAGAGAGTTGGCAAGGTAAGGGGAAACAGAAGAAGAGTCATGAGAAGCAGGGATGATGTGAAGGAGAGTGAGCAAATCACCCTTGTTTGCTACATGGGTGAGAGCCCACATCATAGCATGCTTGGAATGTGATGAGTCATCCACCACAACCATCAATCTCTTCCTCATTGCCAACCCACCATTGTTACTGTCACTGCCGTACATGTTAAGCCCTTCCATTTGCTTCAAGCTTCCCTCAGAGCGCCCAATACCACCACCACCACAAGACTTGTTATTTCCACCAACCCACCTCTTTGATGTTGATTTCCAAGCCTCCCTTCCACTCAATTGCCTTAAAAATGAACTTGGTCTTGGCATTTTCACTTACCCCTCTTGCCTAAATGTGTGCCTACGGACTAAGTTAGAGTGTACCGCTGGTACGAGAGAGAGAGAGAGAGAGAGAGAGTATGTGAGGTTTGGTTATTATAATGAGAGAGAACAGGGGTTTGTGAGAGTGAGAGAGAGTATGTGGGGTTTGATATTGAGGGGTTCTTGGTTATTATAATGGAGAGAGAGAGAGAGAGAGAGAGAGAGAGAGAGAGAGAGAGAGTGATGATGCAAAGCCATGATGTTTTATCTTTGTGCAGGTTAAAGTGTCACGGGAACCACTGGCTGGTTGTGACTTTACTCTGCATAGAAATGTAAACAATCACACTGATTTGTTTTGTTTGATATCTGGTGATGAAAGGGAGTATCTTTTGTACAATCTCTTATAAAAACTATTTGGATTCTCCTGCCCATTTTTTTTCTAATTTCTTATCATCATCATCTGTGTGTTCTGAGTGATGGCGATTAGATTTTATTGGTATTATTACTTTAATTTAATATTAACTAATACATCCATGTATTTTATGTCATTTCATACCACAAGTTGCACATGATATACAGGACTGGTCCAACTTTAGAATAGCCTTGTCCAGACCCCTCAATTGTTTTTGCAGCACCATTTATGTGCACGCACCATTTTTGCTTTTTCCTTTTAGGTCATCTTTCGTGGGTTTCACACTTTCTTGGGGGATGATGCCCTATCAGTCTTCCCAAGCTTCTTTCAAAGCTTCTGTACATGTTGCAAGGGAGATAAATGGAAGATGCACAAAGTTGGTAGTGTGACAAAAGTCAGTGTATTCGAGGAATGAATTATTATTAGAAACGGGGAAAACCGTCTCAATTGTTGAAATCAAATCAAATCAAATAGTAAGTTCGGTTTTTACACACTTAAAAAAATGTGATTTTAGATAAAAAGGGAACAAAACCGTAATTAATTCTGTTCAATCTGATTCGACTTATTTATATTTTGTAACCAAAGCAAACCACATATGTTTATAAAAAAATTTAAAAAGTAATACTTGACATTTTCTTGTTGGTCATCACAAGTTACTAATATGTTCAAAATTTCTCAATTTGTAACAATAAAACGATTTTTCAACTATTATTCAATTTACAGTATAAAGTTCCTTTTGATACATGTGAGAAAATATAAAGTATTTGTTTAATTACTTGTGAAGGGAACTAACCCAACCAAATCAAATCAAAACCGGTCACTAAATCGATAGGTTCGGTTCAATTATGCTATTAATTTAAACTGTAATCTTAACATTAATTCGGTTGCGAATTGAGGTCTAAATTAAACATGACCAGATGGAATCCATCACTAAAACTATAAATATTATTATACAACATATTAGGCTGTTAGATCCAAAATATTATTATCTGTTGATTTTTGAACCCCACTACCAATCTAAAAAATAGTATTTCCATAAAATGAGTTCTCTCCTGTTAATCTAATATCAAAACCTCAATATTATGTTTTAAATCAGAGAGTTTAGACTAAGATCTTAGTTAAAGCTTAAATTAACAACTGGGAAATTCGACCAAAAAGAAAGAGAACAACTGTAAAATGAAGAAATTAATAAATGTATCACATTAATTATTGATAAATTAAGAAAATTAAGAATGCAGGAAGCAGGAAGCATTTAAGATCAATTTCTGCCCCCCTTCCCCCACATCTTTACTTCACTTTCTGGTTCTGGTTCATTGACATGGAAGAGCTCATCATGTAAACGTAACTCTGTCACTGAATAAGCATCCCATTAAATGTGCTTAGCTGAAAATAAATCCATCACATTAATTATTGCATTCTGGGGGACACCCAAATGCCACAAATTGCATCTAGGAAATAGACTTTTCTATCCCTTCATAATTGTTATGTTATGTAGAGCTTTACATAACAAGGAATTTAGGCCTTAATTCTAAACCCTCTTGTAGGATTCTTTACTTGGTCATGCACCTTGTCACTTGGCACCGACACATTATTGGGGATGTCAAAAATAAAGGGGTGAGGGAAAATACTAGAGTGGAGTGGGGTAACATAACAAAGGAATTTAGGCCTTAATTCTGAAAGTTCTGCTACAGTTAGTCGTCCACACACGCATCTATATAAAAAAAATAGTATATATATAGTTATATTACGAATTAATGTATGTTTTTTGTTATAATTAGTCACTTGATAAGTGTTGCAAACACAATGATACGATCACTATGTTACGTAAATTTATTCTCTCATACGCACATACACTTATGAAACTCGCAACTTATCAATTAATGACTAACCCTAACAAAAAATCCTAATCAATTGGGGAAGGATCTTTGTTTTGTGATTGTGGCCAACACATTATTGAGGCAAATGGGGGTGATGAATTCAAATGTAATAAGTGAAGAAGTAAATTGGTTTACTTCTTTGGTTTCTGCTGGTTCACTTCACTCAAACTTTGTCACTGTGTCAGTTTGCGAGTCATCTCATCAGAGTAGAGCACAGGAAAAGAATCCTGCACGTCATACTGACTTGCTTGACAGCAGACTGAGAGACAGCCTATAATAGCCTCAATATTTGTTTTATTTCATTATAAATTTTTTAATTAATTAATTAATTAAGCGATTTAAGGATATGTCAGAAATTGGGTCCATCGTGAATTGGGATTTTTTGGGTCCATCGAGTCAGAAGGTCGTACTTTCAAAATAATTGCTCCCGGGCAAATCGCCGAGCCTTTCATTGCATTGAAGTTACCATTATGACCTTTACCTTTAACTTATAAAATAAATAAACACACTACGTTAATGTTTGGATGCTTCCATTTTTTTTTTATATAAAAAAAAAAACGAAACAGTAGAGATTCATTTGAAAAACATGGCACAAACCCAAGATACAACGATAAGAATACAGCCCCGGAAGGAGGTTCTTGCAATACAGAGACTGTAACAACAACACCAACTAAGCACAAGTATTACAAGATAGTTAGCAAACAAATATACAACTTGAAGCCCAACTAACAAGGAGTTACAGATGAGGAATACCCTAATTCTGCAGCAACCAGTGCTTAAATAAGATTAAGATAGAGAACAATCTCTCAAATTTCATGGGACAGGAAACACCCCAAGAGTGGAGGGCATAACTGCTCAACTTCTACCAGGACATTCCAAAGAATATCACAGCATCTCCTAATCCCCCTCGATCCCAAGCACAATGAAATTAGATCCACCAAATTCAACAGCTCCACCTCAAATACAGAGAGATCTACACGAAATCTACCACAGAAGCAGTAGATCAAGCAAGATCATCCAAAAACCAGTCCCAAAAGACTGGGATACAAGCCCTTGAGAAAAAGGGAAGAAACAAAATCTTGCAAAAGCAAGGAGCAGACAAAACCCAACAAAAGTTGAGAGGGAAAACCTCTCCACAACATAACAGGGGGAGAGAGGTAACAAGCTTCTACTATTTACCCTCATCCATTTTTTTTTTCTTCTTTTTTATTAAAATGCTTTTTTCAAATTATTTCCATTTTTTTCTTGTTAGTATAAAGAATAATACTAATCACGAGGTAAAAATATACATACACTGGTCACGTGAGTTGATCAAATAATGAGTGTTATAGAGAAAAAGGAACATGTATATCCTCTTATAGTTACATTTTCTGGCGTGAACGTATGTTGTTATGAGCAATTTAATCTAATCTACGAGTAACTAACACATTTCTAATATAAATGGAACCTACTTAAAAAGTTATAAGGGCTCACAGGAGAAGGCCTAAAAATGATTTCGGAAATAATTTTATTGATACTTGATAGATGTGTGGTTGGTTTCACTAACTTTATGTGTTTGTTGTGTATATAAATTTTCATAGTTGAAGCCAGGCACGCTACCCAGGTCATGATTCATGGGAACTTGGGCTGCATGGTAAAAGATTAAAAACAAAAAAAGAATGTACGTTAACAAGTAAAACTGTAAAAGAGCCAAAACCCAAAAATTTATAAAAATTTTAAAAAAGAAGAGAGTGAGTGTTCTGCAAAGGTTTAGAATAGAGACGAATTAGCATTCAGCAGCGGCCTCCCTCCTTGCATTGCATCTCGTGAAGTCGTGTTTAATAATAATAACACATAACGTAATCTCCTGCGGGGGGGTGTCCCCATGTCCTTATTAACTTTGTTTTTTACTTACTACTTTTTTAGATTAATCTAACATTCTTTTTGGGTTTTCACTGCTGCGGCTGATTTTTGAGTAGCCCGGTAACAGAAACTTTAGGTCACCCGTACGATCACACACGCACAAAATCGCAGGATTTTTATTTATTATTTTATTTTGGTCCAATCCGGCCTATAATGGTTTTTGTTTTTTGAGTGTGTTACCGACTTGCCATATACAACAGACGCACACAAGAACTTCTCCCCCGGTAGGGTTTGGGGTAATTTAGAACCTATCCTCCATGGTGGGTTCACTTCTGGGGGGCTATAAATATGTTTTCAGCTTCTAGGTTGATGCATGTTGGGGTTTTTGTTTATGTAAATTGGCATTGGGTTTTACCTTTCATTCTCTTTCTATTTCATTCAACTCGTTGCTAAGTAAATTAGAGGAAGAAAAGTAATGAATATGCGACTAAGAATTACTCGTTTAATTCAGAATTTGCGATATTGCACATGATTAATAGTCTAAAGTGCTATAATGTACGAAAACGAAGATTATACTCATTTGCAACCATGAAGAAACTGCCCTGACTAATTGGTCCAACGCACATGCACTTGGGTAATTTCGTAAGAGGAAGCTTTTAAGTTCGATTCCTGCCCCTTCCCCACATCTTTCAGTTGCAGGTTCCTTGTGTAATAATTGTCACTGTATGAACAGCATCCCATATTCCCATTAATGTGCTTAGATGAAAATATATCTATCTCCTTAATGCTAATAATAACGCTTATCAATCCATAGGTCACACTAACTCAAGAGAGAACCAAATATGAACTTGGGTAATTTTATATAAAATTTCCCACATAAATTTATGGACACCCATTTTGCTCCAACTCATGTCCCGGAAGAGTTGAGATAAGAGTTGGTGTGTGTAGTATTACTCGATATTCAACCTTTGATCAATATTTTGGTATTGCCTTTTCAATTAAATATATCTTTGTATTGAATACAATCAACTTAAAATAATCACAAAAAGCTTTACAATGATGGGAAGGAATCATATTCCAAGTCGAAGGAATTTACCCAGGAGCTCTTACCTGTCTTGTA